ATTTGCAACAATACCCTTCGATACCAATCGATCGATAAGAACACAACGAGCAGCGCAAGAGCAGATTGTAAAATCACAAATAAATATCCACTTATTTAGCGAATTTGCAACGAGTGAATTCACGAAGCCGCGAACGGGACACACTTCTGGGCTTTCGTCGCGTGACACGATCCTAAATAGGCCAACGGGTATGTGGGCCAACGAGCAGAGGCAAGTTGAAAAGATCCCGCGGGTGTCCTTAACGATTTTTCCTACTATTGTAATACCACTACAAGAAACACTTTTTTCTTCGGTATTTTTCTTTCCAACAAATTGGTATACCAATAATTGGCTAGTAGAAACTTCTCGTTCGCGTTACGTTTTTTGAAAGACTAAACGAGAAAAATCCGTTTAACGAACGATATCACGCGGAACCTTACCTTATGTAAATTGCGCAAAAAGCAAGTAAAAAAGTTCAATCAAAGAAACTTCAGGAGAAATAAGGTTAGCGTTTCACTAGAGGGATAGTGTTAGTAAATTCGCAATTAAACTGCTGACGGACTGATGCAAATTTAAGAACTCTAGCGATTTCCTCGCTCCTTCAATAATCCCTCTATTCAACGCGTTGGTGCATAATACCAGAGTCATACGTAAGTTATACGGAAACTTATGTATAAAATATCTTTGTCTTAAGTGGGATTGACTTAAACCTCATTAAACTTACGAAATCTTGTTTTGCATCGTTGTTGCAGACGTGACGTCATTATTTGTGCAGGAAAGATTACCGCAACAAGAATATGAAAGCACAGAATCGTTTCATGTAACACAAATGAGCAACGCGGTTCTTCGTATCAAATAGAACATTCAGTCTACTGAATTATTAACATGAAACTAATAACTTTCATGATAATGAAAAAATATGAGGTATTTGAACGATAAATTTTAATGAACATATTTTTATTTTATAATATATACAACGCATAGGTATTTTCATGCATTTATATAGGAATAATTTAAAATTTTTTCTCAGATTTCTTATATCTCTTATCATTAATTAATAATGAGTTTTTGAACAGTACGGAAGATACCTTTCCAGAATAGAATTGTGGCTTTGTTGAAATCTTCTTAGTTTTACGAATCGATGAAAATTTAATTTTTAAATCGGAATTTCAGTTCATCGGCGCAAAAAGGAGATAATGAAATCTTTATTTCCAAACTAGTACAGGCTCTTTATTCGCATTATCTAATTTATCGTTCTTTCTTTTACATTAAAATTTTAATAAAATTTCTACAGCTGTAACTTTTATTTTCAATATTCGATCATCTCGATATCGCAATGTATCCTCTTATTACTTCTATGTCAACTGACAGCGCTATTTTTCCTATATTGCGTCTAAACCAGCGAACCACAAAAGCGGATTATAATGAAATACGTTCATCTCGTTTTCTGATAAGCTGAATCTCTCACTAATGTGAATATGTATCTATATAGCGTTATCTAGAAACTCTTACGTTGTTATATTACATATATACAGCGTAATCTAGAAACTCTTCTTTATAATATCTCCTTTTTATTTTATAGATATTATTTTTGAAATCACATTTTTTGTTATCTTCTATATAGTATATCTTTACATTGATAATAATATATTAATATAAAATTTTTGAATTTTTTTTTATCCGTTAAATGTTTTTCCAATTGCGAGAATATCCGTAATAAATATTCATTACACAACATAAAATCAGTACGTGCGTTTGAGAAGTAAAAAGATTATGTTAAACTGCGGCTTAAATTCTTGTCTTTGTCGTCAAAGGAAAAGAACTTTTATCACAGGAGGAACTGACAATTTCACGCAAATTAAATGAAGTACAGGGTGGTGAAATACTAAGTACTTAGTTTGAAATAGGGCACAAGAAATACGAGATGCAATTGAGATGAGCTGAAGATATCTTTAACCTATTACCTGACCTTTAAATCAGAGTTTCTATTCAGGGAATATCGTAATCCAAAGTGACACGAAAACTATTGTAATACTGTAAAGTTAATATTCCCTTTACATTTATTTAAATGTGTATATATCTTCAATGTACCGAAAGTATATGAGATTTCCATACATTCTAATATGTCTCTCTCAAACTGCAATATTTAATTATTCAAATGCCATTTCGCTTATACCATTTCTTCCACTCCTCTATATTTACTTCGCAAAATTATTCAGTAATAAATTTATAATTATGACATTCATAGAAAGCGACATTCCTCAGAACTCAGTACACTTGCAAAGTTTCACGTAAAAAAATTGACATCTTTTGTGAAGAACTTGACGGTATAAATAAAAATAACGTACTTGGATACTCATAATAAAAAAATATAATCATTTCTTACATTTTTATTCTAAATGACATAAGCACCTTTCATTATAAAAAATCCATGTTACGAAAAACATATATAATATATACAAAATAAAAAAAGTATATAAACGTAATTTTACTTAGCTTTAATTGAATTTTTACTTGAGATACGTTTGTAGAAAACGCAATCTCAATTTAAACTCATTAGGAGACTATGAATAATTCCCGTGACGATATAATTGGCTTTCTAAGCGTCGTCTCGGCGGAAGGGCTTTTTTCTTAATTGTTCGATCATCCACTCTGTTGGCTTCATCATTATTCTATGTCTGCAAATTACGTTTATTTTAATTTAATCGAATATGCGCCATTGTTCAATATTGCGGGATATTTTTGTTGCCGGTAATTGGGAGTTCTCGCAGAATGCCACTCGAATGCCTCCGACACTCGAACACCTCTCGAGACTCTCGAAATCGCAATGCTAATCTATTTCAATGGTAATCGTGCATTATGTCGCATTGAAATGCGCATCAATCGATTCAACGTGAAAAACAACGCCATACATCTATCTGAATTTTTAACAGACAGTACAACTTTTAATTCGGTTATATTTACATATATTATTTATATGTGTACAAAGAAATTTTAATAGTTTTTAAAAATTCATGAAAAAATACATTAATATACTGTCATAGACTTCATATATGGTCCTTATAAAAATTTATATATAGTATGAATAGTATACAGAGAGAGAGAGAGAGAGAGAGAGAGAGAGAGAGAGTATGCACAATACAAATTTTTATAAAGTTAAATTTAACATGCGTCATAATTTTAAGAAAAAAGAAAAAAATACAAAATAAGAACATTAAATACATAATTTTTTGTTTTATATATAGCGACCGCAATCAAAAAATGTAAATTAGATCTAATGCAACTTGAGTATACTTCATGTATGAGTTCCGTGATTTATTGCTCGATTTACATTCTCAGCCTGCCGATAAATTTGATCCTGTCGAGCTCGACAAATTTGACGTAATGGTTAACAATGTATCACGGAGATAACCATTTGGAGGGCATATGTAATCGATAATGCAACGTACAGCCGACGCCGCATAACATATCCTTGATATTTAAATTCATCAACCCGTTCGTGACATGGAATGAGTCCACAATCCGTTGCTCGCGAATGGATTATTATAGTCTGCTTTTAATCAACCATTGATGACTCTTTTGATAACCTTGTGTTAATGCATGTAAAGTTAGTATGCATTTATGCATACAAATAGCTGAAGACGCAATATGCAAACAATGTCAAATAATCCGTATTGTCAATAAATTCGCGAATCTAACTATGGTCACGGATGTTAGTTGGCAAACTATTTGCATTTAATTTAGTTATTCTAAAGTTTATGTTATGTCGTCTTCTAGCTTCATCCCAATCATCAAGTACTGTTAATACAAATTTTATAATTAAATTTAACAGTAAATTAATACACAGAAACTAATATCTCCTAATGAACGTTTATCTATGACGTGCAATTAATTTTATTTTTTAACTTATACATTTCATCACCTTGCACGAACGATACCTTGTGTCTATTATCTACAAAGGCCGAATTGATACGTCAGTAGGTTCTGCTATCCTGTAGTAGTGTAATGGATACCTCGATATCCTTGATGATTCGAACAAGTTGCGAAATTCCGTAACTGTTGTCAGCTTCGGTTTCTCGATCGATCGACTAATGATTATCGTATCTGGATAATAGACTGAAGGGCGTAGCATTATAAAAGAAAAAGAGGTGTTGTCTGACCTACTAATACACAATTAATTAGAAGACAAACAAAGGCGTGTCAGGCCATTTCAGATATCGTCGATACGAGATTTCGTTGATTAGCTCTCATTTGATTGTTCATCAATCTAAACGGCCATTACTTTCGTAATGAACTTTCATATAAACGTTCTATTCATAGAATAATAAAAAACATAATAATTGTCTTTATAAACTTTGCTCTTTGATTGTTTCTATTTTTATAATAAATTTCTACGGTAAACCTGTTTTAATAGCATAAAGATTAAACACACACACACATCAACGATATTTTTTATTGATATTTTCAGTGTATCAGTTCATAAGAAATATTATTGCATTTGTGCAATTACACTTATACTAATTTTTATTGTTAATAAGAATATCGATATAAAAAATTGCCTTTGTATAAATATTTATCAATTAAATCGGTCGGGTATCATCAATTTCGTGTGAAATGTTTTTATCAAAATATTGTCAAAGCCTGCTGTTGCAGATATCAAATTTGATATTAAATGCCGATCCTTGTTTTTGCATACAAGACTGAAGTTACATCAAAGCATTCTTTTATAGGTACATGACAGAAACATGATCTATCATATGTGCTTCCCATCATATAAACTTATTAACCACGTGATGTAATGATTAATTAACATTCTATTCTAACAAGACAAATAGTCCAAAAATTACCATCCCGAAATATTATAATTAAAAATATTGACACAATGTTACGAATCAATAGCGGCAACAATAGTAACCAGCTGTACTATAAAAAGAAAACAGCGTCTTTCCTTCCCCTTTTTTTACAATACTGGGAAATACTTAATAATATCAATGATTAATTAATGCGTAATGTATTTTCAGAACGGACTGTTCTGAGAGTCAGAAGAAACACAGCTGCGAGAAGAAAATTCATTCGACGGACAATAATCCGAGAAGCCGCCATGGAAATACATGTGAGTAATGACAAGTTATGCAATAATGACATGTTCCAATTATAATATTCACACTTTGTAGAATAATTGTCGCTTTATTAATTTTTCCATCGCCTATAGTGACGTTCGTCTTTTCTAATTAGGAACAGAAAAAAGTATAATATTATTTTATTGTCGCTTTGTCAAATTATGTGATATAACGTGCATTATAGTTTTACAAAATTGATTTACAATTGCGAGAATTTATTTCAAAATGCACAAAGAATACAAAATAAGAAAATTAAATATATTTTTTTTATATTTTATACATATCTTCTGTACATACATATTTAACTTTATTTTCAAATGTTTTTTACATGTTATTCTTTAAATATATTCTTTAAATATATATTTCACTAAATTGCAAATCAGTGAAATCGTAAATCATCTTGTTTATTATTAGTATTAATTAAATGATAAGACAAATTCCAAAGATGCATTCTTTCCCATCGTTAGAAAAAGAAATAATTGCGAATTTTTCACACATACACACACAATCGAGGAATAAATCTGAGAAACAAACAACAGAAAATTGATTTCGTCATTATTTTATATTCAGAACGAACTCTCTTAGCTATGTTTTTCCATAACAAGAGAATTACGTATATATTCTTAGTATAATTCTTCCGATAAGAAACATTTCAAAGGTTCTGACAAAAGAATTAAAGAAAAACAAATCAGAACTGGAAAGTTTAACAGAAATAGTTCTTAATATCTTATTTAGTAACAAACTTATTTAGTCTTTTTGAATAGCAATCTTGACTTATGTATAAGTATATTACTTGATACGATCTTTTCATTTGTTGATATGAAATTTTATGCATGAAATCTGGAACACACGGGAACGTTCACTGGATATTTCTGCTGGTATCTCTAAATCTTCGTAGAGAGATAAGCTGCTAAATGTACATACAGTTAGAGGCCTTATCGCAAGCTAAATGTCGGCGGACGTTTTCCTTGAAGTGTACAGTAGAAAATGCCAGAAGGGCCAGGTCGTTTTATTTGTAGACAGGCTCCCGGACGGTCTTTCACGTGGCGGAACTATTAATTAAGTTTTCTGAAATACTCTTTGCCGCAGGAATTCTAAGAACTTTCAACTTGATATAACTTCGATTATTGAGGCATAAAAAAAACTTAAAAGAATTACAGTACAAAAACTTTCGTTCTCCGTCTCGTCTTTTTTGAGTTTGGATCTTTCAAAGTAATGTATATAATTTTCTTTTGAGTAATGTTTTATATTAGTATTACAGTCTCATCTGATTTATTTAATTTCCAATACCAATTTATGTCCGATTTCTCTAAATTTTGCGTTTTTCAACATGCATTACATTTCGAATTTAAATGGAAAATTTACTTGATTTATTATTTAACAAATTTGCTAATTAAATTTATTAAGTACTAAATTTAGAAGTTTTTGTGAAACTCACTAACAATAAGAGCATCATAAGAGATTTAATTTTTTTTACATGTTATTTTAATTATTATTCAAAAGCAATCCTACTTAAAACAGAATTGTTATGTAAAAAGTATATATGTAACATCTAAAATATAATATTAAATATCTTGTTGAACATTTTGTACTTCTTACTACTAGAAAATTTTAAGATTGGAATTTTTTTTAAATTCTTCTTTTCTTGCAAATAAATTGCATTGCCTAAAACGGTATTTTTAATAAATTTTTTAAATGCTACATTTAAAAAATTACTTTATTTACTGGAGAGTCCAACGAGATCATTTAAATACCAAGATTACAGTCGCAGTTATTTATCCCACAAATAAAACGGACTTTAAACGGACTTTATCATATGTTTTATCACAAAAATTATATATGAAGAAATTTCGAGTTTGTTGGCTATAATAAACATTATTTTCAATCTCATTGCACATATATACATACTCTTACTGCAACTCACTCTTCCGTTTAATTGAAAGTACATTAACGCAATGCATCCTCTCGTTTGTAATGTAAATATTGTTAATATTATATATCAGATTCAGCATATCGATCCAGCAATACTAAATTATTATATACATCAATGGTCAAAATAGTTTCAGATTTAACATCTATATATAGATTTATTTTATTATGACTTATATATACATTTAAAAGTTGCGAAAAATCGCTATATTTCCATAACGCAAATAATACATATTTGTTTTTTTTTAGCTTGTTGAAATATTGGAATCTCGCGGTTAAATTCTCATTTCGTACAAAGGAGTACGAAAAATTGGAGAGTTGTTCAGAAATTCTTTTCAAGATAAATATCTTCAATAAAGTTCACTGACAAGGGAAGTTTCACAACTGTCCGGAACAGATTTAATTCTCCATGAAATATGTTGTTAAACACGAAAATCTAAGAGACACGTATTTTTTTTATACGTGCGCTAACTCATGTTTAAGGGATGAAATACCCCTTTGAAGAAAAACGGTATTACTATTTCGAGTCGAATACCGTCGGAAGTATAAAAGATGGAAATTTTTTAAACAAAAGTTGTACGGTTTCAAGAGTATATTTTAATGTTGTGAAGAAAACAAATTTTTTTAATTTTTTTGTTTAACAATTGTTTAACAAAAAATTTAAATTAAAAAAATACGTGTCTCTTAGATTTTTGTGTTTAACAACATATTTCATGGAGAATCAAATCAGTTCCGGACAGTTGTGAAACTTCCTTTGTGAGTATAGTAATAAGTTTGCTAAGTAAATCTTCTGAACAAATTAAAACTTACATGAAAATTTTATACAAATGCTAAATAGAAACAATACTTTTTATTGTAATAATATCGTTGCAGCGTTTGCATGCTTTTGACATGAATGCAACTCCAGCAAATTATTTCCGAGCTCGTTCGATACGTCTCGCATACATAATGAATGTAACTTCTGCTTCGTAAATGCTTATAGGTGCTTATGCAAAAGCTCTGGGCGTATCATAAAATACTATCATGTAGATAACGATTATGGAGGAACGCAAATCCTACATTTTCCCATATACGGTTTCCTGTATGAAAACTCGTTTGCTCGAGACGCTTTTTTAAGTATCCCTTGCTGTTCCGCAAAGCTTAACGCTTTTCAGCGAAGTCAAAGTGTAACTTTGTAGCAAAGATTCGTCGATTTCGTAACAACAAAATTTTCTTTGACACTTCGCGGCGGAGAAACTTCTCTCTAGTAGAACCGTGTGCTGATTTCATATCGGCAACGGCACATTTCAAGTATTCCAACATGGAAAACTGGAATGCAACGGGGATTTGGAGTTACCGAACGACCCACCATCTTCAACTTTTATAGGATTGTCTCAAAACTAGAAATCTGTGAAATGTCACGAAAATTGAGAACGGTGAGAGAAAAGTCCAGAAATTTTGCCAAATTTTCTGAAGAATGAAAATTCTTGGCTTTAAAGAAGTTTAATATGCGTACATCACACCTATGCAATTTTGAAATACTGCCACCTTAACAATTAAATGCAAGCAGTGTCAGCAACATGAATAGTAATTTACGTTTCCGTGTTAAATTGTTTCTTCAACAAAGTATATTTAACGGTTTTCAAATTAGGACTAAAATACAAAAAATTTCTAAATATTATTGAAAGCATCAAGGAAATTCATGAAATTTTGCTTGGAAATCAAGGAAAAGTTATAGAATTTTAGAATGAGAAATTTGTAACAACCCTGTTTTAATACATATATACAACTAATCAATATCTTCTTCTCTTCTCTCTTATACACGTTCTCTCTCTCTCTCTCTCTCCCCCCTCTCTCTCTTCCCTTTCTCTCTTCTCAAAAAGCTTTTATTCGGAGAAAGATGTCACTAACATTTCTCGTTTTGTCTTTACTCTTTCAATAGTTTACTCTTGTAATTAGTTTGTACCTAAGTTGAATGTTATAATAGTAGACCATAATCAAAATTATCAAATGCATTTGTGCTATTTTAAAAGACTAGAGGCAAACGCGACATTATGCATGCAATGTGCAGCGCGATGTATGTGTTATGTTTCATACAAGATATTGCTTTATGCTACACTGAGAAAATTGCTGTGACACGATATAAAAATTTTTGTACAATATATTGCGAAAGTATTTCGTACAGCGAGTTTGTTAAAACAAGCCCTTAAAAAACATTTCGAGAATGTTCTCGTGCTTTTCCAAGAATATTCTCGTATCTTTAGTTAAAATGTCAATAATTCTTATCTATGTATATAAAACTTATCGGATTTTAATAATAAACCTATTACATATATAATTTGCGGATTATATAAAGCTGATATCTAAGCTAAATTGAACGTCAGAGAAACGATATTTTACTCACGGGGGATCTGCCACCAAGTATCAGCAATCGCCGTTATTGATGGCTGTCGTGTTCCAAATGTTCTCGACTTTGCGCTGACAAGTGTTCTATCAGCAAGAAAAGCTCAAGTTCGAGCTCAAGCAAAATCTAGGTCCAATAGGATGGTTATCCTTCCCTTGAATGACCGTTCATTTACTAATCGAAGTACTACACTCGTCAATATAGGACCCTCGTTTACGTCATATGTATTACGGAAAGATATGCTAGCATCCGTTTCTATTCATCCAGTTACATGCGAGAATGGTAGGAGTTCACCTTTTCCAAGACAACGTCGCACTTTGAAATGTTTTCGCTGTGATTGAATATTTTCTTTAAAATGACATATCGAATGGTAATAAATAAAGAAATTTCTTTATAATAACGATATAGAAATAGAAGCGACTTAAGATATAACTTTGTAAAATGAAGCATTATTGAGAAGTAAGAGAATATATTCAAAATATGTAAAATGAGTATTTTTCAAGGAAACTTTAGAACACTAAATTTTGTAAAAATTTTGATATTATAAGAAGCTCAAGAAAGAATTGACAGCAGATATGCATACACATATACAGAGTGTCCCAAAAAGGTCGGGACACCTAAATATCTCGGGAAATATAAGTTTTACAGAAAAGTGTTTCAGACAAAAGTTATATGGTTTAG